AAAGTTGAAAGGATTGTGGTGTGAGGGGTGAAATTGTTTTTAATGGGTTTTTTGTAAATTCTGGAAAAAAAAACCTTAAAAAAATAAGTATGAAAGGAACGAAATCAGGCATTCGCCCTTTCTCGGAAAACTTCACCCACCCTCTTCCCCTTCCCGCACCCCTTTCCTTTCCCTTTGCTTGATGGCCGCTTTGGAGGGAAAAGTGGGCGGGGTTAGAGTGCGTCGAATGATTCCAGGACCAAATACTGCGGATACAATTATGGTAATGAGAGATGATTGGGGGGGGGGGGGAGGGGAGGGGGTCGTACTGTGCATAACCATTCTACGTGTGTTGGAGAAGGGCCATATCATAATCTCTCGAGGGGGTGTAATAAAAAAATTGAAACAGGTCGAAGCGACGGTTGATCCCGGTTCGGGATATCCACCGAGAAATTGATCATCAACGATCAATAATCTGGCCATATCTCGTGAAAGATGAGCAGATTTCTCAGCTCCTGTTGAAAAGCGAACACAAAACCCGTACAGGAAATAAAAAATGCAAATAAGCAGAGAAAAACGTACAAGTCCCAGATTTCAGATCATCCACACCAATCCGCAGGGTCCAGTTGTATGGCTGACGGCGTTCGACGTCGGTGAACCAACCATGTGTGGTGAGTGACCTCCTTAAGCGACATTTTCAGTTCCAAACCGGGACTTCTTTCGGATGCTCCATTCTTTCCCAGATAACAGTCAATTTAATATTATTAAGCCTGGAACGGGAGCGAGTGGTGTCTTGTGGGGAATCGCCCACATCTCGGAGGACTTGGCGCCGGCGCCAAGACGAGCTGCCTATCTGGACGTCGTCACTCGAGCACTTGGAGGAAACGGACAGCAACCGTTGGCTATCAGGCAAGTAGCAATACATTCCAGAGTAATTTCTAAGGAATTGGGTACACCCATGGAGAGCAGGTCAGCAGCCATCAAGGTGAGTTTTACCCACCCTGATGAATTAACAACCTGTTAAAGGTAAGGTCCGGGCTCAGGCGGCGCTAGGCGCTAAGGAACTTTGATCAAATCCCACCCAACAGTAAACGCCCGCCCAGCGTTCGATATCTTGTCTGCGTCGCAAGTTGATCTGCTATGCTCTCTCTACTCGGACTTCTTTACCCTCTCCGCGACTCACATTATCTCTCATCTCCCTGCCTGCTCACGAGAACTGGAATAATAGTGGCTGAACGCGAACGTTATCATCCCTCGTTCCTCAAAATGGGCAATGTTTCAGTGAGGAGTACTTCGCGGCAGATCCATCCAGCCGTGGTTCCATAGCTGTTCTGCCGCCAAATGTCGACATCTCCTCGCTTCAATATCTACAAGGAGTGAACGACCATGGAGAGGTTCGCCTAACAATTTCTCATGTCCCAACCCTTTAAGTACTCTTATCCAGCGGATACTGTTCGCCTCTGCCGAGTACTCGAACGTCTCTATGGGACTGATGAACGGAGCCGTTCTTTCTGGAAAAGCAGCTGGAGAGATGGTGGCGCGCCGTCTGCGAAGTGTTGCCGGTGCGTTGGATTCTTTTTGAGGCTTTAGCCTACTTCGGCGCCCACCTGAGAAGGGTGTGATATATTGGTAAATCCACCGACCCATTCGGGTGGAGAACCACGTGGACTTGCCCGGGAATCGGTCTAAAGAGCTCCTCGGGAGCAAAGGAGTCCTCGCCCCAGGCCTATGTCAGATTTTGCGAATTGAGCGATTCGCTAGCGTCCGCGGTCGCGTCGCGGCCAGCGAATCGCTCGATTTGCAAAGTCTGACATCGGTCTAATTGGGGAGAAGGGGTCGGTTCAGACCTCAGGAAGGTCGTTGACCAGGCATTTCTCGACATGTGGCTGACCCTGGTCAAGAGTCTAAATTACCGGTCTTACCAAGAACCATCCAAGATAGAGTGCTCTGGAGCTGATGCAGCAGTACCCGTCCATTCATGGGTCCCCAAAACTATGCATCTCTGGACGCATCCCCCTATCCTTGGACCGAAGTAGAAACGCGGTTTTATGGACCCATCCCTGGCCGGGTACTGCTGCATGTGACCCTGCTCAGTTCATTTCCAGAAACCGATCGGGAAGACAACGAGATCGCCAATCTTATCCGCCTTAACGATGAGGTCGCGAAGACCACTCGACCACTTCAGGTCTGATTTTAGTTCTTCCACATTTTGCTACAAGATGGCATTTCCATGCGATATTTCCACCGCTTGCTTGTTGTTCCTACCCACTAGCGAGTCCATTTCCAGGTTTCGGTAGACAGTAGACGAACCAACGCCCCCACAACTGCCGCTGCATTCGTCTACAACACCTCAACACATTACCCACTCACTCAGCCCATCGAGGTCACCACCTTCAAGCACTTCA